ACCAGGCCTTTACCACGTGCAAAGGTTGTGAGCCTCTCCTACTGACACGTCACTAAAAGACAAATCTAATTGCTATAAACGATATCTTTTCCCGACCCCTCACCTGTCCTCAACACTACTACCCCAGCAAATCTGTTCTTGCCACAAAACCAATCATTTGTTTTTTTTAACATCAAGTTTTAACCCAGAATCTAGTTACAGAATCCAAAACAAACATGTCCTTGATAATTAACTGCAGTGAATGACATGATTACAGAATCGTTCGTTGTTCTTCAACACAAAGTCTTTCCCATTGATTTTGCTTAAGAGAACCAACACCTGTTTTAGACAAATAAACCTAGCTACAAACCCTCATTACTTGATCCTGACAAAGAGGGACCCGCTGGCCAAGTGGTTAAGGCGTCTGACGTTCTGCTACCACAAGCCCTCCACCATTAGGTCGCGGGTTCGAGACCTACGTGGGGCAGTCGCCAGGTACTGGCCGTAAGTCGGTGTTTTTCTCGGGAAACTCCGGCTTTCCTCCACCACCACAACCTGGCACGTCCTTACATGAAAATGACCATAGCTGTTCAAACCAAAATCTTGACAAAGAACATCATTCTATGAATTCGTTAGTACCTTAATGCCTACTTATGACGATACTTTATAGCCAAGTTCAATATGGACAAGTTTCAAAGCCGTCATCATGATCTCATTAGGCAATATGGTATTTCTTTGTGAAATATGAAAGCAGAATTTTGATGATGCTCACAAGGGTGTCTTGATGCTTCGTTGTCACTTACACGGATCACCCTATGAGGACCGCGCATTACGTCCAAGTGACTCAGATTATAATGGCGAGTGTTTTGAATAATGCAAACGACGCTTAAACCTCTGGAACACCTGGGCATAAAACTGTCTTCATGCTTAAACTCAGATTCTGTGCTCAAGATCACTTTCTTATTTTGGTGATGAATTAATAAAAAGTAGTGTATTGTCTATGCTTTGAGAGAGTTTTATTGGCATTTTAATCAGACTGCTGTTTTATTGTTGACACTTTACTTTATGATCATGTCACATGATATAAGTACTTTACAAGGAAGTTGTTTTTATGTAAATATACTTTTTATATTTGCCCATTTTTTATCAAGTTTATCAATGTTGAGTTCAGCTTCCGATTGACTGACACTTCTATACTCTCCTGTTGTCTTTACCACCAATCTACAGCAAGACGTTGTAGTGAACGGATCATATATCATATAGCAGTTTCACTTAGGGCCTTAACTTTTAATTACGTGTCAATTTTCATAAATGTCGACGTCAGTTTTGAACACGCGTGAGATAGCCAATACATATTGAATACCGTTCATTTTGTTCTCACAACAACAAGTCCCGGCTCACCATTGGACAATCTGCAGAGACGGACTATCGATAAGTGCCGATAAACTGCATAAATATTAGCCGGTGGTCTTGTAACATACAGTCAAACAAACCTATACCCGGAAGTACGTCTTGATGTCAATCCCCGCTGATGTAATTCCCGTAGGTTTGGGGAAGGGTTAGGCCTGCGACACTACTGCATGTCGTAAGATGAGACCTATTATGCCCCCTCTCCTTTATTGCGGCATCGGGGGTTTCTGCCATTTTATTCTGCAGAATGGACATCGATGAAACAAAAAATGTATATGTTGTCTCATTGCAACATATGTGGTGTACACATTCTCTTTTTTCTCTCCCCTGCCCTTTATTTTTGGCTGTGTCTTCCTAGGCCCAAATCTTCAAATGACCTTAGATGTTGTGAAGGCATTAAACCTCAAACAAACTAACATCTTAATCTATGATATCGTTACGTACAGAATCAACCACGTTTCTGTGGTAGTAAACCTCAGCTAGTTGTTGTGATAACGGTACAGTTAACTGTCTTCACTAATAACGTTTAACAGATGAGCTTAGCTATATAACCCGCAACCTGTCCTACGCAATCAGTATTCAACAAACGTCTGGGAATGCAGTCGGCATCAACCGAGGGCGGACATCACTAAGCATTGTATAGCGCTCGTTGCCATTGGATTCATTTAGCATTTTTGTCGGTTTAAGTTTAAGTGATTTGATTAACTAACACCTTGTTAAAATAATGCTAAAATTCACTATTTTGTAAATTGGTTGAAAATATTAAATTGTTTGGGGATTATGAAAAATAATATAAATACATTAAAAAAACGGAAATTATTTACCTAAGACAAATTCGTTCTGAGCTGTGATGTGCGAAATGTTGGTATCTTACCACTATCATGACAAGTGTTTTGCATTTAATGAAACCATTTTTTTTTTTACACATGTAGTAGCGTTTTCTTATTTTATATCTTTGCAATGTAATTCAAACACACGGAGCTGCTGGCGGGGAAGTAACTGTTCTGATTGGTCTACCTGAAAGCAATTTCCTGCGGGCCACATCCCCGGTATGTCTCAATTGTCGATGCCATTACGTGCAGGATATTGCATTTAACGCGAGGAAAAGTGTAAAGTGTTGATGCACAGGAATTAATAAAAGAAGTGAAAATATTGCGGTTGTTGTTGGCGTAGCTGTATTCCAATCAAACAGACAACAAAAGATATTAGCAAAGTCCAGTTGAACACTCAGTTTTACAGTGCACATGGCCGTACGCACATCAAAGGACAAACAATCATGATTGCCTTTAAAGTATAAATGAGGCGGGAGCTTAAAAGAAAAAATATGAGCTTTATACAGATACGTCACGGGTAGAGCAAAATTAAATTAGAAAAAAAAATGTAAAATTTATTAATTTCTCTGTTTTCCCCCTTGATGGAAAATTAGAGTAAATACATATTCTAGCCACCAGAGTCATAGAAGAAGAAACCATAGATCCCAGTAACCTACAATTTATGTTTAGATTAGTTAACCATACGATGTACCCAAATAAGAGATTTGAAGACTGATTCTCTTATAATATAAGAATAATTGAGCTTTATTCAATGTCTAGCCAGAAAAGCATAAGGATGGACCGACGACAAATGTTTAACACTTAATGCCCCCAGAACTGTGTAGCGGAGCTTTGTGGATTTCTTTATGAGTGTTTTAATTAGAATGGTGCAATCTGAACACTAGTTTATTCTCCGTCGTTCTTGTGATATTTGCCCCCGTGAAACAGCATTAATGTCGTAGAAAAAATCGTGTTTCCCTTCCACAAGGTCAATACATTTTTTATGAAACAGAAATAAAACAATAACACAACAGTAAATATTAGCATGCTTCACAACCATTATTGTCGTCTGCTTCATTCTCCCGGAACTGAGGTGTGGTATAGCTTGCTTATTTTTCCAGAGAAGCTTCGAATAAGCAAAGTATGATCTTGGTAAACTCGAACGTTTGAAAACGACATGTTTTTTTTTTTTTATATTTTTCCGTCATTTGATCAATTTAATCAAATCTCACCGCTGTTATTAACGTGTGGTATAATAGTATGTATAAGAGACTTCGTAACTGAATTAATATGTATGATTTATGTTCTTTTAATGCTGTGTCATTAGCAGAAGGGACACATCCTTGTACACGTTTTTGAGTGTTTACCGTCATAGTCGCTTATTATTTTTAGTTTCATCTACATCATTAGTGTGACGTCTTGACCACTTTCATTTGATCATTAGTGTGAAGTGCTACGATTTCCGGCGCAAAATACCGCCTCAAGCAGACATTATAATATATGTCTGTTCACTGTAAGGATAAACTAAACTGAAGTTGCGACTATAGCAGTGTAGACACAATTTTTGCCATGCGCCATTTTATAAGTGTCAATGTAAGGCTTGATGATTCGATGCAAATGACACTCTGAAAAGCTTTAAATCAACCGTTCAAATGACTTAGATTCTGGACAAGAATGCGGTTCCGTAAATCCCGTTTCGTTGACTAACGACAGACAAAGCACTATAACAATTAGATTATCAAATCAATTAAATGACAGAGGTAAATTTAGGGAATGGACGGTGTATTTGTAATTGACATACCAGAATGCTCGTCAATACCTTATGCATATATATCATCCATGATCGAACGCTTGCGCGATTCACGATACAACTTATGTAATTAGCAGTTCAAAACAATGTTACAGTTACAAATAATAATAATAATAACAATAATAATATACAACATTTATATAACGCCCTATATAATTTGTAAAATTACTCAAAAATACGATTCTATCACTATCTTTTAATTGGTCATTAAATTAAAAGGCAGCACCCATAACGATCTAGTGAACATTATTCCGCGAATGCAGCCACCAGCAGGACTTGCGCCTTGGATTTCATCACCATTTCGTCGTAACGTTTAATCATATGACATATAAAAGTAGCCCTTTACTTCCGAGATGGTAACCTCGTCAGGCTGAATAGGCGAACACGTACAAAATGTAGCCCTGGCGTCTGAGACGGTTTCCTAGTCAAGCTTACTAGACAAGTGTGACCGTTGGTAATCCTAGCCTCTGAGACAGTACCCCTTCATATTTCTATAGCTTGCCCAGTCTAGACTTTGAGACAGTTATTTATCAAGCTTACTATTAACGAACTAATGAGAAGACTAGCTTACAAGAAAAATACATCAATTAGTATACCTGGTCCCTGAGAGTTTCCAGCATTAGGCCTAGCGGCTAAGCGCAACCCTCACAAACACATTCTTAAACTTAGTCTTTGTGAAACCCTGTCAAGTTGACTGTACAAGTCTATCACCTTAGCCCATGACCTGCCCGCATTGTCGAATCGTCCTAACCCTAGGGGAGTTGTTCCCCACACAAATCGGCCCTTATCGCCCACCAATATCCACACACAGATATATTGTGTGCATCTATATATATATATATACTATGACACAAAATAATCTATGTCAAATTCTAACAATCGGAAATCGTATAGAAAAGTACATACAGGAGTTAAATAGCGCAGCCATTTTTAAATATTACTTAAATAATGTTTCCAACTATTCTGATTATCGAACTGACTGATCGGATGGCAGATAGTTGGGAGCACACCTCGTCTTTCTAAGTCGTTGCTGACCCGTAGCGTGGCATACTAGAATTGACACTAGATCGGGGCGTCACGGTACCTGCGTACATTTGTTTCATGTCATAAGCATTTGTATTACAATTAAAGAATTATATATAAGGCCGGGTTAGAATAACCGCGGCGGGTTAGTGTGTTAGATATCTCCGTGTGTCCAGGACCTATCAAACTGTGCACGTCTTACGTAACTTTTACACTAGTGCAAAACATAATTACAAACGTGTGTAGGAAAGTCTCCTACTGGTGAAGAGACGATTTATCACAACGGTCACTAATTCACAAAGTAAAATACAGATACATATGATACCAGGTTTTTCTTTCGGATTTTACTACGGCCAGTAACACTATAGCGGTGAGTACGAGATTGTATGGCTTAATACTCTATACAAAACTAACACACTGTATAGCCTATAAACGTAACAGAACAGTGTGTATATAATATTATGATCCCATTGATAGACATTGTTTTAGTTTCATCTTGGCGCGTATAGCAGGATTTCTATCTCACATTATTTACATTTTTTGCTAAAATGATACTCATGTTTTGCTTGCTCCCCTGGTTTATACATGTATGCTTGACATGTAATAATTTACATGTCTGACATGTCTATGTGAAGCGCCCTTATATATATATTTAATGTCTTTAGGAAAGCTGCTGTATAAAATATACAGTTTATAAAGAAAACTATACCTGTGTAAGACGTACATGTACATGTCTTCTTCCATTTTTACCATTTGAAACCAATTACAGCTAACCATCATCACTCTTTGAACTTCTGTTAAACGAAACATACGTTATTTTTATGATTGGGAACATCTCTTTACATGATTCCATGACCGTCCATGTTGTAATTGTTTCGCAATTAATACTTCGATATCAATGAGATATTCTTTTAATAGACATGCACGTGTTGCGATGCACAGCTTTCGCCATCTTAGATAACGTTCATTGTCGTAACAGTCAGGTTCTGTACATTCCGTGCTACATTGTGACATGTGTTTACGCACTCAGCTTGTCAATGGAAGGCGTACAAAAGAAGAGCTATACATAATTAGAATGTGACAAAGATGTGTTTCTCTCACGAGTAGGCGGAACTAGACTGTAATCCTTCATACATGTCTTGTCAGTGTGTGATGTATATTGGGATGCATTTGGAACCACCCAGCATATATATAGACCAACATACGTAACAGGGCGCAGATTTACTGTAATAGTGCCCTCAGAATCCTGATGGCATGTATACTTAACTATAACACCCGCCAGACGGCGTTTATGGTAATGTCATTGCCATGACAATCCTTCCCTGTTGTTCATATATAATGTTAGTGTAAGAGACTGTAATTCATGAACGTACTTTGACCTTTAATCTCAAGTTCTCCCACATGCAATAACGCCAATATTAGTGAGGATCGAGGTGTGATACTCTAAACGTTTGATTTTATATATTTCCAATGATCGTAGGATCAAAATAGGAAATGTTTCAATACAAATAGTATAGTGTAGCACTGCAGCAGATGCATTGTATTGACATAAAATATAATACATAAATTTGGAGAAAACTCATTCAAAATTGGAAACACGATTTCCTATGCCGCGTTTTATTACTAAATCAATGTACACATTGTTTTCAAATAAACGCCAGACTTACTGAAAGTTTTAGAACTCTACAAACAGCGTTGCTCTCCAAATTCCTAATACGATCAAATATACTAGAACCATTGTCCAAACTTTGTCAACTTTTCAATTCTTAATTTCATATATCATTTTAAGATGAAATCTTCATCTTAAATAACATTCAGCACCCATCTGCTCGAGTGAATAGTTGGTTGATTTGGTTGGGTGAAGGGTTATTGCCTACATGATTCCGCCCTTAGGTGAATAGTTGGCCTGTACTTTCGTAGTCTGGTTTTGTTTATTACTCGACAAAAAAGGGGATTACATCGGACAATTGACAATTTCTTACTGTCGTTTAACACTTTTCTATTGATGTATTGCTTTAAATAATCCTCAATTGTTTGTACGGGACCGGTGCATACATTGGACTGTAACATCCTTCTGACGCACGTTGTCGCTGCCATGCATGAACGCTATTTATCCCCTGATGAACCTCTGAAAGAAAAGACTGCTAGGGAGCGGCTCAGAATCTCCTCATTTTCTTTTCTATATATTAACATATACATGTATATGTATTTCATGCTGCATTACTGTTTCATAGTAACAGTTTTACTATGTTACATAAGGTGTGATATTAAGTGTTCATGCTTCTATCTTGAAAAGGGGTCAGATTGCACTGAAAATTCCACAAATTCCTTTGTCTGCACTGCCGTTATTAGTTTTTTGCTTGCAAATATGCATATATACTGTAGTAGATAAGTATATCTTATTTCAAAGCATCTTCTGTATTAAAATATTTAGTGTAACATGTCACATGTGATGTGACCGAATTTTGGCGTAATTGACATTTTTAAGAGAGAAACCCTTGAAAATCGAAACCAAGAAAGTCATTTATAGACCATTTAAAATTTTGCTGTTGTTTTACTGGTATCGTGGGTCCAGTTCACATCTAGGAGAACCATTTCTATGCGCTGACGATAGAAGTCTAATGACACGAACATAAAACGTCACTGAAAAGTATGAAATGAACAACGTGACTTTCGCGTGATTTTAAAAATGGTAGCGTATAACATGCACGTTTTCGTAACCTATGTATCTAAAAATGTTCACTGTGACCTAGTGGGAAGCAATAAAAAGCATAGCTAAAGGGCATGGAAATGAACGATGATACTTACACGTGATTTTCACTATATTGAATTATCAACAAAACCATAACTCGAACTAAAAGCAAAATGTGGACAAAGGAAACATTAACACGGAGACCGTACGAGGATAAAAAGACTGGGGCTTGTATTCATGTTACCGTTCTCATGCTCGCTTAAACCATGTCAAACGATCAAAAAGTCAAATGTTTACATTGAAAACATTTTCCAGCTTTGCATCTCTTCAATCCCATAATTATGGGAGACTTGAGGTTAAAGGTCAAAAGTACGTTCATGAATTACATTCTCTTACACCTACATTCCATAAATCATTGACATTATAATATTTCCGTATGAATTTTTAGCGGGAACAAGGAATTTGGCTTGAGCACAAATTCCACGCTTGAACACGAGAACGGTTTCATGAATATTGGCCCGAGTGTTCCGGATGGGTAAGCATAATCTGCTTCATCGAAGGCATCCACCATATAAATCTAGGTCAAATCCAAGTAATTCGGGTAGAGACAACAAAGCCACAAGGCGCATTATTGAGTATAATAAAAAAAAAACATCGACCTTCATATCAAACAGGCAAATAACATATTTTCCTGTGATATCATGATGGCGACTATAAAACTTTTTCATAGTTTTCATCAACCTGCATCTTTTTAAACCGTGTGTTGTAGTTTTGTCATTCAGCAGTCGACATATTATATTATCTAAGGCTGTTCACTGTGTGCTGATGGAAAGGAAAACATTACCAGCACCGAACGGCACCTTTGTTGCAGTTGCCTTCAGATCTAATTAAAGTAGAATTATCTAATGATATGAAGTAACTCCTAGCAAATGAGATAGAATTGTTCACATGAGATCAATTTCCACCGAACGGGTATCTTCTTTACAGATTTAACAAAAACAGGACCGGTTATTAAGGTTATATAGCAGCCTAAATCGGTGTAAACCGTGATGAAATGTGCACATTGCTAACTTGATTGGTTGTGGGACACGTTTCCTTGGCGAGGGACAACTTTGATTGTTTAGAAGTGTCCTTTTACACAAAAGTGAAAAGACTTGCACTCTTAAGATAATCACGTCCCCAAATAGGTGAGTCCCTTATGTAACCATAGGAATTGTTTAATACGGCACGTGTACGATGACCGTAACACACAACCACGTGATTACATTTCGAACAGATGTTTTTGTAAGACAACCAAAAAATGTTTATATGTGACGTTCCGATGACTAGTACGGTATGTACAGTACTATGTCATTATCATCAGCAAATGACCAGTGAAGCGTATGTACACGAAGGTGTAAATGTGTACGAGTTGTCCACAAATCGATGTCGATTCGGCTACGCTGTAAGCGTATGTACATTTTGTTGTTTTACATGTATGTATAAGTACTGAAATGACTCGATTCAGCTACGTTTTGTTTAGTCATCGAAACATCACATATAAACACTTTTTGGTTTTGCAACGAGAATCGTTTTTATAATCCATATTTACCAACCTGAAGAAAATGTTTAGAAACAAGTGATTACACCTTTAATTTATTTCATTAGTTACTATATGCCAAACATGGTTTTGCAATGCATCATACAGCTGTTTCGTCCTTCTGGGACTCATCGTTGATGTCGGCGGCCACAATTGTCTAAACTACTGTTGAAACAAACGGACAGGTAGTAAAACAACTTAATTTATGAATGTTAAAATTAAGAAGAAGAATGCTGGCTTATTTCAAGTTAAATATTCTGTTAAGTGTGTGTATTATAAACCGTTCCTCTACTTAAAAGCCGTTATTACTTCTTGAGGAAATGGATTGATGTTAGTGTTAATAAGATATTTCAACTGTAAATTATCAGATATTGATCTTGATATTTCATTACAAGAGATCAAATTAATATACAGCGTTTTATCCTTTATCTTACCTATATAATTATTTCTCTTATGCACAAAGTAACGACACATTGGTTATAATTATGGAATAAACATATATCTATATATATATAGAAATAAAACACTCATTATTTCGTTGGAATTACTTCTTTGCCCCATATAATATTTTAAGTAATTCGTATCCTACGGACATACCTCCATTAGGATCCAGTGTTATATGGGATTTTGCCGTCTATATTTCTTCTTTGACCCATATATATATATATATATATATAACACGGAAATTGTTGATTTCATATGATGTCGGATGAATTAAGGTTATTTCATTCCAATCCATTCTTTTCCCTTTTTCCAGACAGCTGAAGCAATATGTCTGTTGCATGCATCTTGAGATGTGTCAATGGGTAACTGGGACATACTTCGTTGTACAAATTGAGAAAATTTCTATAAACAAAAGTAAAGAGATGTTCATTAGGTACAATAATTGGGTATGTTACGTTACATTGGTACGGCAAGCACTGTATAACACCCTAGCTGCCGTTGTTTCTCATGTATGTACTGCGCGGTTGTTGTTAATCCTTTCGTCGGAGCAATTAAATATCGAATGTGCTTTGCAAACCCGAACATGAAGTGGTGATTGTTCATATCACGGAAATATATTGACACACACGGTCAGTAGGATCTAACACCGTTCAAG